TCTGTATGATAAGAATGTTATATTTGTTAGAAATCGATGTAAAATGAAAAAGTGAGTTTTAGGATAGATGGTCGAAGAAAAAACAACAACAACAGCTTTTCAACCTTTTGCAGCAAAATATAAAAAAGACAAAAAAAATAGAAAGAGATAGAGATCAGTATACATAATATTATTCACATAAAAAAGATTTCTTGAGTAATTAAATACTAATCCAACGCACGCACACGCTGCTGCCAACTCTTGTGATCGCCGAAGTTAAGGCTTTTCGACTATCGAGTTTGATTATGTTAAGATATCATACACAATGAGACAAAAACAGAATCACTAAAAAATTTATTGTTCATTTTGGCCTGATTGTGCATTGGTACTACTTAACGATGGTGAAGACTCTTGTGCATTTGCTGCTGCTTCACTAGTTGTCGATGATGTTGACGCCGCTGTAGCCGCTATTTCTGTAGCAGATGGTGGTGGTGGTGGTTTTTTTTCTACTTTTTCTTCGTCTTCATCATCTAACAGTGTTTGATCGTTCATTATTTGTTCTTCAATTAATTTTTTGACTTTAGTTTCATATAAACGTTTATTCTCTAAAAATAATTTTGCTGCTTCATTGTTTGCCGGACTATTTGGATTTGGATCATTTAATAATGAACGTATGGATGTCAATATTGAGATAACATCATACGTTGGACTCCAATTACGTTGTAAAATATCCAAACAAATACTGCCGTCGGCCTTAAAAAAATTTGAAATGATAGTTGGATAAAGTATTTGATTCTTTAACTAGATGAACTTACATAAACGTTTGGATGAAACATTTTACATGTAAAACGAACATTTGGTGGTTTTAGAGGATACTGATCTAAATTTAGACAAAAACAGTCAGGGACTCCCACAGTGAAATAGAAACTTAAGACATTATACCTGAAAACTCCATACGCAAGGTAAATGTACCATCTTCGAAACAAGTGTCAGTTGGTCCCATAATCACAGCATTCCATACACGCATATCTTCTTTGGTTGGAGCTGCATTTATACCTTAAAAGAAATGAAAATGATCACTTTACGCAGTGCAGTCAAACGCTTCAAGAAATTTAAACTCCATGAAGAGATATCTTGTCTTTCAAAAATTTAGTCTGATTCTACCAGCCCCATTAGCTAGTAGAATTAAATAGTCTACATCTACCGATGGCTTCAGAAATATGAAAAAATAACTGGTGTAATTCTGTCTTAGATATAACGATTCTAAAGACCACGTGCATCAGCCCTCACAATTCGGAAGCTCTTTGAACTGTGTAAGGAAAAATGAAACTCTGCTTCTCTCCTTTTTAGCTAAATTCAATTACCTTGTAAATCTTCGCTGTGTAGTTTGGTTAAGTCATGTAATAAGCGTCTTCTTGCTGTCATTTTGTAGCGATATTTTCTTGTTTTCACTGAATTTGAGCTAACAACACATCGACTGGTTTTTTTTCGGACACAAACAAACAAATCAAATAGTTGTGAGATTATTTCTTTTCAAACTATTATACAGCAATGACGAAGAGGTCTGAAATAAAAAAGAAACAAAAATGAACATATCAAATACAGAAAAATAATTTCGTCACGCGCCAAAGTGCAGGAAAGGTAAATAACTAATATTTCTCCATTCAAAGTTTCCGATTTCAATGTCAAAGGTCAAACAGAAACTGTCACAAACTTGTGAGACATTTGTTTTTCATAAGACTCGAGCACTTTCTATATTAAACGTACGCAACTCGTCAGCACTTGCTGACTTGACTCATTATACTATTTAATGACTTTTCCTTTCCCCTGATTTTCTGCTTTTACTTTCATTCATTTTCGTCACATGCTATCATTTATCAACGTTTCTTTTTTGTTTTTTTATATTTTGCTGCAAAAGGTTGAAAAGCTGTTGTTGTTGTTTTTTCTTCGACCATCTATCCTAAAACTCACTTTTTCATTTTACATCGATTTCTAACAAATATAACATTCTTATCATACAGA